TTAGAAATTGACTCGAATGATGCAATAACTTTAAATAATCGCGGTGAAGTCTATCAAAAAATGGGCGAGTATGATAAATCACTTGCAAATTTAAATATATCATTAGAAATTGATTCAAATAATGAAATAGCCTTAATCCGAATAATTCAAGAACTATAGGCAATCGTGGTGTAATTAATTATTTGTTAGGTAGATTTGAAGAATCACTTGAAGATTTAAATAAATCACTAGTAAAACGGTGCCGTTTCGTAGGGCTGGAGCCTTATTTATTACACGCTTTAAGTTTGGAAATAAAATTTATAACATGAAGATGTGTGTTAATTTTAAGTAGTATATGTTATAAGTTTGTTTTAATGTAGCATGCGTGTGAATAATCATAAACTTCCATTTAAATTTATAAATTTATAAAATAAACTTTGTTCTCTGCTAATCTATGCTGTAAACGTATACTTTCTCCTAACTTATGCAATTTATTATAAGAAATGTACTGTTGAAAAGAAGACCAGGGTCCATTATCATTTTCATTTGAAACCTTTTTTGGGGTTAATTTTTCTTGATTGCATCTAGTATATACAGTAATCCCGTTTTATGTACTAATGCGATCGTAGGAAAACTCTCTTTACAAATAGGGCAGAAGTTGAATTTAAACGCAGAAACTGCATTGCGAAATTTCTTTAAAAGACCTTATCATAATTAGAAAGCTGGCATGCAAGTGGTAACGACAAGATATTTTGATCCTCTAAAAAAAAAAAATTAGTTAATATAAACAGTCGACATTTTCTAATTTTGTTGAAATTATAATAAGCATTACGTTCGTCACTTGGATTTGGGTTGTTGCACAGCAAAACCATGCTTAGAACATAAAATATATATACTCTAAGCATGGTTTTGCTATGCAACAACCCATTTGTATTTTCTTTTTCGACGTTATTATTTTGACGCTTGCGCCCGATCTTGCTTTTATTGACTCATAGTTTCGGTAACTATTCTTCGAGTGTCATAGAAGCCAATCTCTTTTTTTCAGCATCATTTCTTGCATCCAGGTGTATAAATTCTTTTTTTTTTGCATTGATACAACAAATTATTAATTAGCTTTTATTTATATTACGTTATCACGTTATTCGTCATTTTTTTATAATGTTTATTATATAGTCTGTTTTATTTATCACAGAAATTCTGATCAAATTTTTACAGGGATATGATTGTTCAAAATCGATTAAATAATTACAGGGGTGGGAGTCAAATTAGTAGAGCATAGAAAGGCCTTACACTCCGCTTCCCTCCGTTCCAGCCCAATTACAAATTGATCCGAATAATGCATCAACATTAAATATTCGTGGAGAATTTATCGAAAAATGGGCAAGTATAAAGAAACACTTTCAGATTTAAATAAAGCATACGGAATAAAATCAAGTAATACAGGCGAAATTTACTTAAAATTTGGGACCTGTACAAATTGTAAACAACACAATACCGGATTTTACTAATGTTATTCTTGAGTGATATAAGTCAAAAATGGACAAGTGGAAATTCCGAATTAGATAATTTTATAAAAAAATGCACAAATAGGTTCTAAATATTATCATAAAAGTAATCGAATTTATAACTTATGACAAATTAGAAGTTGAACGAATCGGTAAAGGTGGGATTAGCACAATTTATTCTGCAACCTGGATTGATACTCTAAGGGAACTAACACTTATTACGTAAATATAGCCTCTCCCCATTTGACAATTACAAATTCTAATGTAATCAAAAAACGTAATTGATAAAATTTATTACATTAGAATTTGCAATTGTCAAATGGAGAAGTTAGTTCTCTAAATTTACCGTTTATTTTATTGGTCTAATTGGACTAAGTATTTAATATAAGCTATTCACTTCTCATTTAGCTTCTTATCCACATTAGTCTGTAAAATTATTATCTGCCAAGAACACTTCTAAATTAGTATGACCAGATCCGTATGGTATAGGTGTGAAATACTCCTGTTTTTTAATGCCTGTTTCGACATTATGTATTATTAAGGTTAGCATTAGAAAATTACAATGGACTGGTATGATAAAAGGTGGTTTACACTCTATACTATATATACATCATAAACTCTTATGAAATTTCTTGTTTAATTATAGTGTCTCATATAGTTATGTTGTATTTAGTTGTATACCCGATTCAAAACTATATACAACTATTCTGTATTGAATGTCCGACATTTTCTAAATTAAGCTTTCATTCATTCGTTCTTTGTTTAATTTGACCAACTCAATTCAAGAACCTAGTTTATTTTAAAAAAAATTTTATATGTAAAATTTTTTATCGGTATCCGGGTTGTGAGACTTAATAAAAATTTTTTTATTAAAAAATTAAATCCGGGTTTGCAGGTCATGGGAGGTCAGTTGGTGATATTAAAATCAAAAATATAAGTTTGTGTGGCCTAATTTGCTAAAAATTAGAAATTAAATATCTCAGAATTTAGTGATCAGAATTGAATGAACTTTATTTGTTAGATGCTCCTTACTAAGAGCTTTCATTTAAAAAAAGTTTATCCAATTGGATTTCTGGTTGCCAAAATAGTTACAAAAAATTGTTTTTTTGTTCCCTAAATTTTGGGAGGTTTTGCTGAATTGTATAATATATGACCTATATCAGAGATGTTCGGGGTCCTAAAGTGTCTATATTAAATATATAATTCTTAATAAGTTAAAAATCCCAAGTAAAATAAATAGTTGTTATGCAGGTTGTATTTGATAATAGTTTAATAAGCCTTTATTGGAATAAAACAATATACTGTAAACATAACATAATTTGTAATATGCTACTTAGTAGTTCAAACAAATAAAGGCAAAACTGCTTTAAAAAACACCAATTCTATGTTTAATATTTGCTTCAAACGAAATTTGTAATTTGGTTAATTTGTAATTATTCTATGGCATTAAATTATCTTTGTTCAATTAGCTTTCTATAAAAAAACACATTTTACAATAAGGTCCAACCAATTTAATTCTTAGCATTAACCAATCAATTGCAGCATTAGCTTTTTATAATATATATATATATAATTTATATACCTTTAATGCTCTCCTCTCCACTTATATAAACTATTTAACCGAAGAACCAATTTGTAGTGGCCTAAATGTAAAAACATGCAAAAAATCTAACCTCAATCTCTACATACAGTATAATGCATAAACTTACATAATACATTGAAGATAAATACTGTATTTCCTAAATTATCAAACCTTAATGAAGTTTAGTAAATCTGAATCATGTAATAACGTCCCCCCAAAATAAGACACATAGGACAAATTAAGCTGTATCAAACTTAATAATACATGATACTGATGCTTAAATAAGTTTTCTGTATAAGGTTATTGGTTTTCTGCACTAGTCAAAATTAGATTTCTTGCACCGTACATAAGAAACTTTAATGAAAGCAAAGCCACATGTTAATAGGAAAAATAATAAAAATAATAAAAAATAATTAAAATAATAAAAAAATAATTAAAAAATTCTTAAAAGGATCGTAAAACGATTTTAAAACATATGCGCGTTATTTAGAATACGCGCATGGGCATTTCTTTGAATTTTCTCAAACCTGTCTGTTATATCAAATTATTTGTTGAACCCTACTGTGGGGTGCGCGTCATTTCGGGACGCGCATGAGTGTTATTTTGAAACCATGCATGCAATTTTTTGATATTCTAGATAACGCTCATGCCCGTTACTTCGCGAAAATACGGTAATTCTACTAGTTCAGTCCTACAGGTATCGATCAGGACGAATCGAAGGTCTTAAACGTATGTAAAAAAGTTCTGTATACCACAATAAATATGACGCAGTGACCTTTATAGATCAACTCACATGGGTACAAGAAAAAAAAATACTGGAAAGCTGTTTAATTATATAAACGATGGTTTGCACCCAAAATTTTTTATCTCACATTGTACTTGTGCAAAACATATCTAGAATTTCTTCATTTCATTCTGGAAACAGTGTGACTTTCTACCAGATAACCTCAAAGACAATTATATTGCGAAAATAATATACTGTAGTAAATAATATAGTAAGGCTTAAATATTATTGAAGTATCGTACATATGCACGTACGTACGGGGCAGGTGATCTAAAAATCTTAATTAACTTTATTAAATTTTGTCACCCTCGAATAACGGTACATTCAAGTATACACATTATACACATGCACAGTTGTTATTGTTTTGGTGTATTATTTATATGCAAAAATATGTTTGCTGCACTTTATTGAAAATGATAATTTAGGAAATTTTAATGTGCTACATCCTATTTTATACGCTTTTCTATAGCGAGCATTTGATCATATTGATTCGTTTCAGCTTAACCAGGGATTTTGAAAGTCCGTTTCAGTCCTTAATTCAGTAAATATTATTTTAATAATAGCCAAGAATTTTGAACCTTCCTATACAACTATTAAAGCGATCATCATTTTCGTTGTCAATTCGGCAGATTTGGAATTTGACTTTTATTTAAATTCCCTAACGCTAAATCTATAAGAACCAATTTACGAATCTGCTATGTAATACTAAAATATTAGTATCAGAATCTAAAAATCAAGAAACCCCCATTTTCTCTCGGTGCTACTCGTTTTACTTTGCTAATATTTTGATATTACCTAGCATTCGTAGATTTAGCATTAGGGGATTTAAATAAAGGTCAAATTCTACAATTCCGTCGAATGTGTTAACATTATGGCCGGAAAATTTCTCGCACGTATCAATATACATACTATATATACGTATACGCATATATTCATTTATGTATTATGCCAAGTTTTATCTAATACTAATTTTATTTTCAATAAATCCTAAATTGTAGCCACAAAGTATATACGTAGTGTTACAGTTTTCTTTTTTTTCTCTCTTTCTTTTTTGAGAATAGTTTATAGTTACACTACGTATCATAAATAATTAACCTTTTTTATCGAGATAGTCTTTAAAAATTTACAAGTATATTTAAATCCCCATTATATGGCAATTATTCGAATTCAAATGATGATAACTTTATTAAATCAAATACAAAATCCTATTCCTCATTATTTGGTTGGTGCCTTACCAGTCATAATAACGTTAGGAACAACTCCACATAGTGGTATTAAGGCGAAGCTACAAAGATTATTTCTATGCCTTGGTTGTCCTTTTATAGGGTTACTTTACTTTTGTAATGTATCGAATAATAAAACAGAAATGTGTACTTACTGGCTCAAAGCCGAATGTTTCTATGAAGATCATAAAAAAAAAATTCAAAATGATCAAGAAATGCTGCAAAATGATTTTTATGAACAACAAAATGACCTAGAAAAGCAAGGTGGTCAAGGAGAATATACTTCACTTGCACGACCTATGGGATTTCATACTAAAATAATATGTCCTAACGCTAAACAAGAAAGTATTCTAGATCTTTGTGTTGAAGAAGCATCTTTAATTGATAGATTTTCGTCATTAATATCTGCATTTTACATAATATTTGGCATTGCCGGAGGAATAACGATATTATTTGAAAACCCATGTTCATATGATTCATCATATCAGGATTGGCCATTTATAACAACATTATTCATCTGGACGCTACCTGTAATTACTTTTAGATCATATTATGGAAGAGTAGTATTTAGGATACCAAAACGTGAGATTAATATGAATTTAATGTCAAATTCTCTGGAGAATAATCATATTAATGAAATTTCGGAAACTTCAGTAAAAGTATTGAATACAGAAAATCCAAATGTTCCATTAAGTTTAATAAGTAATGAGAATCCAATCAAAGTTAAACCTTTAGATTATTCAATACTTTATAAAAAACGACGTAATGTTATAATTACTCTTTTAATCTCAACAACACTTCATTGGATATCAGTAATTATAGCTTATTTGACTCCTCCAGTTGCATTCCTTTGCAGATCAAGATACTTGTCAATAATTTGCACAATATGGACAGTTAATAGTCTTATTGCTGCTATACTTCACATAAAAAATACTAGGATTAATCTTAAAATTTGGTTTCGTTTCTGTGGTATTATAATAGGAATACTTTTAATAGTATTTGGTTTGTTAACCACTTATAAGTCTTGGTGGTATGCAATTAGTCCTTTGTGTCGTGGAACATGTGAATAAAAAATGTCTCATTCGAAAATCGGTTCCACGGTGAAGTCTGATCGTTGTTCAAGGCGTGAGGATCGATGAAAATCTGTATATAAGAAAGTTGTTATCGGGGCAAAAAAGAAAAAAAGTTAATAAGCACAAATTACAGATTGGGTTTCCGGGATATACAGTATTATATATTATATTCAGCATTATATATTAGATAATTAATATTTTTAAATTATTATAAGTAATCTTATTTTACTTCTGATACAGTATATATTATTTTCGTGCAAACTCTTATGATCATAGATTTTTTTCCTCTTTTTTTTGTGCGTTATTACACAAGCACAACAATCTCGAATTAAAGCCCAGTTAGCCAATAATGACTTGTATTAAAACTCAGTTAGCCAATAATGACCTGTAAATCATGATCATAATTGCACGATAACATCACTGTCAGGACAAATGGTTGGCTGAAATGTGACGCTGCGCGGTGCATGTCAGCCAACCATTTGCTCCATGACCAATATTTTTATAAATATAGCAAATGAAAAAAGGTTATAATTTATATAAAATAAACAAATAAAAAATATATATCGATATATATTTTATTATAAGTTTATACATATTTAAGAAATTTGAGATATCGATATGATTATAAAATCGGATCGGATCAAATCAATAATTTTATAGAGATTAGAGATGAAATGAATTGCTTTAATTTGATCCTTGATTGAAACAAATTAAATATTCTATTTTTGTTATCTGATTATGCAAAAATATACAAAATTCATCATATATAGTACATTGAAAATCGCTGAAACGGGTAAAATTCTTCAGCCGTAAAAAACTTCTAAAAAAAATGCATTACTCTTTAATGTTCATTATATTCCTAATATTCTTTGTTATATCCTATGCTAATGATATAGAAGGTGGTGACCCAATGGATCCTGAAACAATTAAGGCAAAGTTTAAATCACCTCATGAAGATTTTTCAACAAAATCTCAAACTTTAGACATTCACGTCCCTTGGTCACGAAATGACATATTTTGTATAAATGTAACCACACCACCACCTAAAATGGTTTTATATCCTTATTATAATATTTATATTCGTTGGAAAAAAATACCCGAATGTAACACAAACATTCCCCTAACAAATTTTCAAATAACTTTGTATAATAATCCAAAAGTTTCAGGAAGTATTGAAAAACCAAAAGTTAAATTTGATTGGTCAAAAAAAATCGCATCAGATGTAACAGAAGATTATTATTTATGGAGTATTCCATTACTTTATCGAGATATAGTAGATGATTTTACAATATTTTATATTAGAATTGAAACAGAAACTGTTGTTAATAGTGGAATGTATACAGCATTTGGAATGACGGGTCCATTAACAATTTCACAACAGCCTGATAAAGAAAATAAAACTTTATTTGCAGAGACTAATAGTACGGAACCAAAAGTTGTGATACCTACAGTTATTGGAGAACAAGTTAAATCTTCAGGGAAAAGAATTAATCTAGTAACAATTTATTCTGAAATGGTTATTAATTTGACATTATTGTTATCTTTTATAATGATTATTTTTATTCTGTTTATGTGAAATTAATTTCGTAACAAATTTAACAAAATTGTTTAAACAAAAGCACTCTTTTCGTTTAAAGCGAAAAATGAAATGAATAAGAAAATGATAAGATAGTAAATACTAATAGTAAGACACGTCGATAATATTGTATTATTTATGTTATTATATTTAATATTAGAAGACTCGAACACGCATAAAGATAAAATTTATTTAATAAATTCACGAAATAATAAATTTTCAAATATTTATAAAAAAAAAAACTTGATTTTATTTACTTCATTTCAAAATTTTTACAGTCAAAAAAAAAAATAAAAAAATAAAAATGAAAAGAAAAAAATTTTTCGACAAAAATAATACATTTTGAGGAATAAGTCGTAAAACGCGTAATTGACAAATATTTAAACCAATTTGCTGGTTTAAATTCCTCATAATGATTCTAAATTATTTTCTAGGTTTAAATTCCTCACGATGATTCTAAATTAAAATATAGTGAATATTAGTAATGACGGTAGAAATTTCATGTAGAAAAAATAATAATAACCTTGAAGAACCAAATAACAGGAATGGGTTCACGATCGGTGACTTTTTGAACGTCTCCAGAAACATAATTGGCTTTTCCACTTTTAATGTAATCAAAGATGTCGCATCTAATATAATTTAAAAGAAAATTAAAAGGTAGGTAAATAATCATAAATATTATGAAAAAATAAACCAATTAGGTTATTTACGCAGTCATGATTTCATTATCGTTGAGGCATTGCTTTGGAGTAGGGAACAAGTCATCTCGACTTTCTTCATGTTGGTCGGATTTAGTAGATTCAATCTCTGGTTGATTACATGATCTTAAATAAGCTTCACATTCTTGACGTTTAATTTCCTCAAATTTAACGTTCGCGTCGATGATTATATTCATCATATCAACGAAGGTGTTAGCAGAGATGGCCTCTGGACCGGTAAGAGTATAATGCCTTTTTTGATGATTGCGGTCCATTTCACGATGAAGTTGACCTTGTTTGTCAAAAATGATACGATGGATTACGCAAAAAACGTCGTTAAGATGAATAGGTGACATGCGACTATCACTCCTGATTGGAAGACCGAGTTTATTTTTCTTCATGATATATTCAGAGAAATAGTGCAAACATTGCACCACGAACGCACATCTGAAAAAAAAAAAAGAGCGTGTTGAGATTAAGAAAAATCTAGAATGAAAAAGGGAAAGATATCCACCTGAGGATACAATTGCGATCAACAGCAGCTTCGACTTTTTTTTCCATATCCCTGAATTCGCGGAGACTTTTTTCATCGGCATCATCGGCACCAAGTAACGAAAGAAAGAGCATGTTGCCTACACCAACTTTTTTACAAGTCTTAAAAAGGAAGAAGAATATTTATTATTATGAAATTAATCAATTAATTATTAAAATGTGTGATTATTAAAAAGAAAAGGTACGTACATTCGCGAAAATTTTAGCATAATTACAACGATCGTTATCCGATTCAGGGAGCATAAGAACCCAAATGCCACCGTTTAAAGCTTGTTCAATTGTTCCTTGATTATTGTAATCAATTTGGGCAACCTCAGCACCATGTTTCTTAAGACCATTCAACCCAGAGATATCACGTGCAAGAGCACGAACAGTATAAGCCCTCTGATTTTGCTTCTTGTCTTGAAGTAAGACTTGAGTAATTGCGTATCCCAGATAACTGTCACAAGAAGTAACGCAAATAACGTTCTTGTTTTGAGCAGACATATTGTTAAAGAGGTTTTTAAAAATGGTTGTAATTTTTGTTTGTAATGATGAAGAAAAGTCAAAGTAAGAAAGTTGAGATGAGAAATGGTGAAGGGACAAAGACGAAAGAGGAGGTTATTTAAAGAAAATTTTACAGTATAAATTTTAACTATAGTTCTCGAACCATTGTAACAGTTGCTCTTTTAAAAAAAATTGAATGATAAAAAAAACCAGTTCTTTCATTAATCAGCTTCTGATTGATTCATTAAGGGCCCGGGAATAGATCATCTTTCAATTATCTACATTTACTTCGCATTTAATGATTTAGTTAAATTTACTTTAGTTAAATAAAGGGAGCAAATTTTAACAACTTTAACAAGCTTCCCAATGGGCACAGGCTATGCTAACTCCCACACCATCCAATATTGGCTTCCTTTTTGATAACAAAGAATTTTTACTATTTAAGATAGAGAAGGAGCAGGATCGAATGAATGTACTCAAAACTGTTCACGAGATATTTTTACTTATAAAGCAAGGTACTAAACATTTGCAGTCTTTTTGTACGTAATTATTTTTCTGATTTAAAGTTTTTGTAAATTATAATCGTAACACAGATTTAAAAAACGGGTTCTCGCATTAACTTGTTCGTAAAGTCTACGTATATTATATCCAAATTTGGTGATATTCAATCGATCGATTTTTATACACATGGAGTGATTTCAATAGAAACATCCCATTTTTACATAATATGCCGTTTCTATTGAAATCACCCCATATACCTTCTTTTGGAGAAGGAAATTTTAACCTTTGAAGATATCTTACGATTCAGTGATAGAATTATTTTAGTATCATTCGATTCGTCTATGAAAGATGAATCGAACGGTGATTATGATCGAAAAAAACGGCGAGTACCATTAATTAGTATGTGCGTCATAATACTCTCTTTCACCTTATATAAATGGAAATCTTTTATAAAATGCAGTGACCCAGAATCATCAAATTGGAAAATTATATCAATCATTGAAGGTGGATTAATTACCATATTTCGCAGTGAAAGATACTCAGGGTCTCTTGAGATCTATACATGGTCGCCCGTTGAATATATTTCTATTTATAGTAGGATTCTTTAGACATTCACACTTTACTTTTATATTACTTTAAAGATGAGTCAGTGTGTGAACAAATAAAGGCAATGCGTGGGAATTGTGTAGTAGATAAGACTAATGTTGATCTATGGCTTAAAGGATGGAAGCCCTAATTATCTTAATTGCATTACTATATTTAGCCTATGTCTTTTAATCTCTTTAAGAAATGAATTCACTGATTGGCGATGGGACATTATAGATGATTATCGATATCAGCAATTGATATTTTTAAATAATCACACGGAGTAAAACGAATAAAACAAAAGAGTAATAGTGCGCCTCTGACACATGTTTTTCCCATAGTTATGTTAACTTCCATACGTATACCCTGCATATTTGCTTTATTCTGCAGTTGTTATTTTGTTTTTCACCTTAATGTGGTTACATGGGAAAAAATACTCGAAAAATCATAAACTTATGCACATTGATATTTAACGTTAAAACTTTATCTTAGCCATTTATGTCATACTTTTAAATCATTTAATTAATCTTAAACATATTATATTGGAATAACCCATGTCTCCGACACTTTGTACCAGGATTCTCACGAGAACCTTTTTTTGATAAGACCTGAGAAATTTAACAATGTTTCACACAACTTTACAAAATATATAAAAAAATTATTGTTTCAATTGAATCAGCCATAAAATCAAGTGTAAACGAGGTTCATAAATACAGTAAATTACACGAAAAAAAATTCTATAGTAAAAATTTTTAAAGCAAAAAATTTAAACTTTATTACTCTAAAAATTTTGTAATATTGCAATAAAGCTTATAGAAGATACTGTATATAATATTGTCAATAGACATGAACATAAGCATGAATTTTCATGTTCATAGACATATAAAAAATATGAACATGAATATTGAACATTGTTTATAGACTGTCCAGGACTGTCTATGTTTAATAATTTGCTTGGACGTATGGGATCTTTGCTAGGAAAATCACCCTTCGGGATTTTCCGATCGGGCTAATTCGGAAAAGTTTAGACCAGAATGT